CAGTGCTCTTAAAAATAAATAATGTGCAATTTCAGAGTTATATCCTGAAATATGCTAATCTAGATCCCCATCTATATCCTGGACACGTCTCTCCCAGGAAAGTCACTGTAAAGAGTGCTCAGCACTTTGCTAGATAAAACACTAAAAAAAGGTACTGAACCCACACTTGTTTTTCTTCAAATTGCAGTCAATTAGAGAAAAGGTGCTGACCTCAAGCATATGTTGATTATATTGTTTAAGAAAAGAATGGTACAGTCTTTATTACATATCAGGTTTCAAAGGTTCAGTAGATCTTATATCTGGAGGGTGGCTCAGAGCTGTGGGAGAGAGAACTGTCCCAAAGCTGAAAACTTAACAATCAAATATACTTATCTATTACTTTTTATGAAATATGAAGGACTCTGCCACAGAAACATTAACATGTACATTAATAAACAATTTACAATAAATTTATCTGAATGAAATCAAGTTGTTCAATGTAAAGCTGCCATAAGAGTCAGAAAAGTACACACTGTCTGCTGTCTTGATGTAGCTCCCAGTTCTTATTTTTAACATACATTTAGGAACCATAGCTGGCAATTGATATGACTGATGTGAGGATAAATCTGAGGTACACTCAACTGATGGGTGTTCCTCAGTTGTTCCTCACCAGGGCAGATATCATTACAATATTAGGGATCCTTCTTTTTATCCTATCTACTTCATATTAGTTGTTGATTGTGTTGGATGATAAAAGTGGTAATTATAATAAAGCCTGTTTATCTGATCTGTGCTGTAGGCAGCACAGGAGGTGTGAACGTATATAAACAACAGAAATCAACCAAGGCAGCTATGGAGGCTTGAGCTGTTGACTGCTGCCCAGTGAAGGACCACAGGGTGAAATTTATTCCACTGTCAAGCCCCTATACAGCAGCTAAGCCTTTGGGGCTGTGCCCCAGGTCACCTATAGAGATAAACAGTCACACAATGGAAGTAATCTGTTTTTTCATTCAGACCTGGGGTGCCTCAATAGAAATGCACAAAGAGCCCCAGGGCAATACAGAGCCAGGAGGTATAAGGGAAAGGTAAGAAAGGATGTCTGCAATGAATCCACTGCTACAGCTTCCCAGCAGTGAGAGGGCTAACAACAAAGGCCATGTAAGCTAAGAGGAAAAGCTCTGGGCATGTCCCACCTCAGGTCACCCTAGAGTAACCAGTTACTGGTGGTCACAAACCACCTCAAAACAGACAATTTGCAGCACAACAAACCGCACACCAGGGAGCCCCAGAAGCTTTGGGCTCCACATAGACACAGACCTTATACAAAAGCAATAGAGTAAAATGACTCCTAGGGCTTGTGAAAACCTGCACAGTCAAAGACTACAATTTGTAGGTTAGTTAAAGGATTCAAACCATTAGAGGATGGTTTGAAACCTAGCACTCACTACATTACACTTCAGCTTAGGATAAACCTGAGGCAAGTGAGACAGGAGATGGGTTAGTGAGGAGTCCTATATTTTGGTAGAGAGAGACACACCTGTGTGGCAGTTTGAGGGGAGGGTGCTATGAGAAGGATGAGTGTGGATGGTGGTAGAGAGCCATGGTGCCAGAAGCATGCAGTATTGAAGGTGGAAAGCCTGCAGAAGATGAGGTTAAGGCCCAGTTTTGAGAAGGTATGGGCAAACTCTATTGTCTTGGAAGTAGGTGCTACTGTCATGTCTTCTGCCAAATCAAGTCAGAGAAACCTTGCCCTGTTCTATCAGATTTAGTGATAGGGTAAAAATTTGGACTCCATGGCTTGTGTACTAAAGTTAACTTCACTCACAGAGAATCAAATATGAAGCTTGCAAAACAGGCTCAGGCCAAATTTTTCTTCATGTGCTGACTTTAAAGACAAACTTTCTCATCTATGTTCCCATTTACATCTCATTGTTTTCACTTATATAACTACACAAGTAATTTTTTTTTTTTTTACTACCATAGGAATTAGAGTGTCTCCATCTACTTTGCTCTCAGAGAAATAATCAACTGGTGTATTAAAACCTTCCGTGAGGTGAAAAAAATCACCTGTCAGTTAATATTTTAGTCTACTTGAATTCCCTTTTTGTTGATGGCCTGACACTAGAGAGAAGAAGAAAAGACATTCCCAGAAGAAAAGATAAAGCTAAACAGATGCTTCTCTGAGCCTCTGTGAGACTGGCACCTGTGAATTAGTTATCTCAATAGAAATTCTGTCAACGTATATGAAATATGTTTTAAAAGATCAACAGCAGCAAAACCCTAACAGAAAGAACAGGAATACGCCCACCTTGCATCAAGGAAATAACCTTGTCTTAAACTGCAAGTTTACACAATGTACACGTAACACCCTCTGGCTTATCAACAACAAATTAAACACATTCCAGTCTGTATTGCTGTTTAGTCCCTTGCGATGCTTTAGTTTCAGTGGTGATCATGTTAGGACCACATCCCACACCTTAGCATATAGCCAAAGTAAAGTGTCCTGGGTAGGAGAGACTGGTGAATAAGGAAATATGCTACTCTGTCTTAGATATAGCAGAATGACTTTCTGTTTCCCATCAACTTTTGGCAAAACTGTCCGCAAGGCAGTGATTTAGCTACTAAATTTGCATAATCACAGACCTCTAGTCATGCATGATGAAATACATGTGAACTTAAGAGGAAAAATGGGTAAGAAATGGCACTTTTAGCTAGTAAACGTTTGTGAGTGTTCTGCTATATATGAAATTGCTCAAGCTAGTTCAAAATTCAATAGATACACTGAATATCGTATTTGGAGATGAGGACCTAATGTAAAGCTGAAAACACAATAAGAAAATAGCCATACATTGTATCTGCATGCCTCCTCTTTAGCCTAGCCTGACGTGAAAATGGTGGAACCGTGGTGTTGTTCATCTACCTGCTCCATTAGCGCTAAAACATATCATATGCAGACAGGCTTTGTATCTGAGTATACGCTGTACTGACACTCCACCCTGCCCTACCCTCCTGTAATTTCTTGTTCTTTTTTGAAAGAAGAGAGTGAAAGAATTCTTTATTTCATCGATTAACTAGACTGATGCTAAGAAAAATCACTGTGAGATAATGTGTTATTTCAGCTGTGTTATTTCAGTCAATTACACATTAGAACATCAAGCTGATACAAAAGAGGTATATTAGAAATATCATCCAACAACATCAGAAATTTAAGTTTTAAAAGAACTGTTTGATCTACAGTTCTTTTATTTTCCATTTAATTGGCTATGTCTTTTTTTTTGCTTTAGACGTGTTCCAATGTCACCTGAGTTCCTTTAGGCTTTGTGTTTTACTTTCAATCAGGAATAAAAATTGTGTATATATATATTTGAATGTATGAAATAATTCCTTTACTCCTGCAGATTTTTCTGAAGAATGAAATTCTATATGCAAAGTCAGTAAAGAGGCTTTACTTTGAGATGCTTAATTCAAAAACTTAAATAACGTAAAGAATATGTTCCCTTCAGCAACAAAGAAACATCATACTAAATCTACACCATTTCTTCAAGGAAAGGAGAAAATATGTATAAGAGTAATCTTTGGTACCAAAAATAAGGGCACCTTCTTGTATGTGTTCAAATCTGAACACAACGGAAAAACTTCTCTTTAAAAATGGATTAAAATGACCTCTGAGTGGTTCCATGTAGTGGGTATTGATAGCAGTAGCTAGAAAAACAATTGGAACGTTAAGGGTTGTGTGACAGCAGGATACAGATACAACACAATAACAAGTGATGAAATATTTGATGTTTCCCTCCACCCTCCCACCCTTATGAAAATTTTTCCTAAGACAATGCCGTAAGATATACACTTTTAATTATTCATAACATCCTCAAAATCCTTTAAGGGCTCCAATACTCAAAAGCAACAAAACCCAACCAACAGCAATAAGAAAAAGAGCAACAAAAGCTGAGGTTATAATACAAGATCAGAAAAAGTCCTCTGACTGAAGGCATTTACTGATTTGTTTGATCTTATGGACTTCACTTTCTCTACTCGATTCCATCATGATATTTTCTGCCAAAGCCTGGTTTATTTGCTCAAGAAAATATTCCATCCACTAGGGATTTCTTCTGTGGGCTGTCTGACCACAGTGGGAAGTCAGCAGTAAGCAGGCTATATTTTTCTTCTTTAGTTCATGATGAATGTGTCACTGGATCCTGTGAACACTATTGAGTATACATTCAAGCTTTGTTCTTAGTGAAAGTGGCACTTACTTGAACCCTTGCAGTCAAGATAGCTTAGTTATATAGCACTTTACAGGTATAATAGCTGGTTATGTACTTCTGATAAAATTTCTTTTTCCGATGGCTTAGTGGGTATTGAAACATATCCTCACTGGGATCCCATTGCCATTCCACATCATCTTTATGATGAAGTGTGTATTCTGTACTTTTTACTGTACTTTACATGTGCTTTATTGCTGTATGCATTTCCCTGTTGTTAATTTAAGTGCTCCTCTGTTATGTAACACATACAACGTTTTAAACTCTAAAGGCATCCTATGAGGACTGGCATTAGAAAAGTACCGATACTTCAGATCATCATAATAATGATACTTGACTGGTTTTCCATGTAAATCCTTTGGGAATGGCCAAAATCCGTACAGGTGAATTTCATCACAAAATCTGGTGGCAAGCGTATACATGAGGAGACCAGTGCTGGGTCGTTTAATGTGGACCTTGTTTGTCAGCCAATAGCTGCAAAGAAAGAAAAAGGACATTAAGAAACTCTCATACAACTTCATGTGAGTAAGTCCTGTAAACTTATTTTATCTATCATGCATTCATTTTACACTATAAAAAAGCAAAAGTTTCCTTCTTCTTTCTAAACTGACATCTTAAATGATGACCCTGTTTTGGCACACCGTTATTCCACCTAGAAGAGAACTGAGATCTTATTTAACACAGTGCTGAAGAAAAGCTAGCCAACTAAGGTTCTTAGTTCAGGCTTTAACCCTAACAAGAAGTCACAATGCCTGCAAATGCTAGAAAACTGCAGTTAACCTCCTCAGCCAGATCAGGGAACAGTCTCTTGCTACAAACTTTGACCTCTTGCAGTATCCAATTCAGCTCATCAAGTCAGCCCTACACAGCATATTTGATTGGCCTAGTGATTACTTCACAGATTGCTTGTCTAAATAGAAAGGAAATGGAAATAATAAACATAACACATTAAGTATGCAACTTTCAGAAGTAAACAGAAGTGAAGCTTTAATTACTTTGCTTGTAAGTAAGTATGTAAAGTGCCTGTTTGCTAACAGCAGACTCCAGAAAAGCAAAATTTTACACTTACAATTTTAAAAAGGTTTTTTTTTGTACTCATCAGTACACAGATTCAACGAAGGTATGGAACAGTTTTCCTGAGCCAGTAACAACGTCTGGTTGTGGGTTTAGAAGCTGCAGAGAGTTTTGGTGGATAGACGCAGAAGGAACATGGGAACTGAACTGGATTCCAGCACATAGGTCACATTGGTACCTTCAAAATCTGTCACCAACATTGTTTTACATCCCCAGTTTTTAAAAATAAAACTTCATTAAAATAAGTGCCAGCCTCTTACTGGCAAAACGCTTCTCCCAAGCCTGATTCAATGTAAGGCTTGTTAGCACTTTATAGAAATAAAAAAGGGTATTTCGAAACTTAAACCTGGTCGTTCTGCTGGTTCAGATAAACAGCAGCCATGCACACAGTTGTGCTAGTCAAATTGTGGGAACGAGTGGCTGCAAGTAAGGGAGGTAAGCAAGTCGTTACATAGCGTTACCACACAAACCTGAATCACTGCGTTGTACCACTATATTCTTTGTTAGTAGTAGGCTGTGAATTGTTTCTACCATAGCCTAGACAGGAGGTCAAGGGAGGTAAGCCTCATCAGACCAGAGTTAGCCTTGTGCTAAACAGGGTTACAATAAGGTTGGAACTCTGAGTATACAACCAGATTGCTTTAAAGGCATCTAGTGGTGTAGCAGGAGGAACATCCCACCCACCACTATGAGACAGGATAGCAAAAACACGACTTTAATCAAAGCTTAAAGTGTCTTAAAAGTATCAGATGCTGTGCAACATTAAAAATAACCATCCCATGGAAACTGGCCTTTTCAGTTTCAGTCTTTGCCAAAACCATACGGCCTAAAGGCTTATGTCTTTGAATCACAGATACATATGCATGTGAAAGATAATTTTTTTTTGCACGGTACTCAGTTTCTTTTTTGAAAGCTGAAGGACTCTGCAAGCAGCAGTTCTAGGCTGAGTGATTGCTTCTTCAAAGCCAGCAGAGGGAATGACTCAGAATTTTGTTTGGCTGTAAAAAGCAGGATGGTAAAAAGCATATTTAAGAAGCAAATGCAATGGGGAAAGGTTACATGTACAAATGACAAATGCATATAGTTTCTCCATTGTTTCCATAAACCTGAGTTTTCAGACAGAGGTTTCTGAGATAAGATGCTAAGTAGTTTGCTTCCTACTCTGAGAAATTGCAACATTTTAAAACAAGACAAGTCAAAGGAGAGACTCTAATTTGAGAAGATTTTTTAAAATGTTTGCTTATAGAAAAGTTATTGAAAAAATAAATCTAATGACTTTTGGCATTTATCACTTATATATTATATATAATATATAATGTGTGATATCACTTATATCACAGATACAGCAAAAAAGATTAAAAGTGAAAGCTAATTATTTAATTTTTGTAGAAACTGGTATTTATCTCTTCAAAAGTTGGTACTCGCTTTAATCACATGCAGTCAGCCATGTACATGACTGTCTCTAGCCAAACAACAATCAAACCTGATGCATCTGGTACTACACAGCACAACTGTTATCATTCCAGCTGAATTTCACCCTTCCAGGAACAGAATGATCACGGCAGAGAATGAAGTTAATAGTAAACAGGTGGATCCAAATATTTGAAAAGGACACTACATCTTCTTAGTTAAGAGTTTCTGTAGAGGAACAAGTATATAATGAAGGAATAAGATGTAATAAAGAGGATCACAGTTTTAGAATATAAAAGCAAATCTTTTCTTCTGCTTGTCATATTCAGATATCATACAAAAGGGAAGTTTAACTGTTTGGTTTCTCTTAAAAATGAAAAAGATATCCAAACTCTATACTCAAATTATGGTACTTGCTGCACTTACTATCAAAATTTTGCAACTTGGGATCAATTCTACTTCAGATGAAAAAAACACAAGTAAAGCAATGAATGAAACAGTTAGAGGCGTTCACTGCTCCAGGCTGAAGCTTCCTGCAGATCATTTGATCTCTGCAAATCTCTGGCTCCCAACCTCTACTTGAACTGATAAAATTGGTTGTGTGGTGTAAGTAGTCTTTGTGATTTTGGTCCTAAAATTTATCTGTCTTTCTTAGTCACTCAAGTAGCTACTCTAATATGAACCTTGGTTAAGGCTGATTTTGAGATATTGATTGATGTTGTAAATGCTTTAACCAATGAGCATTTTTGCACCTGCTTTCAGTTTCTGGAGTTTTGTTATAACTTTAGTTTTAAGCCTAAAGATACCCTTCTTATCTATTTATCTGGCATATACTCATTTTCTGTACAACTAAGATTACAATTTGAGGGAAGGAACCTACCACAGATCCAAAAGAGACTCTCTTGTTTCTCATAACTAATCTCTAGATCTTCACCCATGACCAATTCCTGAGTTTCAGGCTGGATAGAGAAATAAGTTTAATTGACAAAGGAATAGGTGTATCTTGCCGTGTTAGAAAATGGAGTCTGCTATTTAAGCATCACTATTAAGCCCGTAAGTGGAAGGCTGCAGCCACACAGTGCACCACTGCAGTGCTCCCGTCACTTGTTCTCTTGACAGCTGTGATAAAACAACTCTTGTGGGGCCATGCTGTAAAGCAGACTACTGAATTTATCGACATGTGCCAATGGAAAACACACAATTTCTATAACATTGATGACTTGAAGATGAGTAGCTTGAATTCAAACAGATCTCACTTCAATTTACTTTTAATTACATGGCTGATGGTTAAGTTAGTAAAGACACTGGCAATATATCATGACTTTCTACTTAATACTCAGAAGTTAAAAATAAACCTCCAGTGGTAAGTGAAAAACACAGCACCACTAAACAAAAAAAACCCCAAACCCATGCAAGAATAGAGAGTATGTTGAACTACCTGAAATGAAAGGAAGGCCAGTTCAATACTTAATTAATTTAGATAGGTTCATGTATATGATTTTTATAAAATTACACTTAATAATTATCAGGCAACTAAAAATAGCACAATATACCGTAAGATTAAAGGACAACCTGCTGATAGCAGGGGACTGCTAAAACTCTCTCTTCCATGAAAAGAAAGTATGCTCAAGCAGGTACTGGTTCTTCTACCTATGCCCTTCTGCTCCTACTCCTTTCTTCTGATATCATCCTGTCTATTTTCACCTCAGCAACTCATCCCAAATCCAAGCATCTTTGCCTCCAAAACCTTTTTACCTGCCTCAGACATACTATGTAGTTAAGTCATGGCCACACACTTGTAGACCTTCTTTTTCATCCAGTCTAATAGGTATCTCTTTTCTACAGTCCCTTCTTTTTACTGGACATACACACTTCAAAGAGATTTCACGTGATTTTAAAATTTGAACAGTGATCTCCTGCATGTTTCACTCTATGTTAGATATAAAAGTGAAAATAATCAAAGACATCTTTCAGAATTTCTGTTAAGACTGGAGATAAGTATTGTCAATAATGGATTTGTGCCAGCATTATTTTAATACTTTCTGATGCTTTAGGCATAAAGAAAATGTTTTTTCCTTCCTTTTTAATGCTATTATCTTACCAAAACCTAGTTCTTACATGTAGTTCCACACCATGAATAAAAGACTTGCATGTTTTAATATTCTGTACGTAAAAATGTAATTTCTGGCAAACAGTCTTCTTTTTCTTTACTAAGATAATAATAAAAACTAGGGTAAAGGAGAAAGACTTATTTGTTAGATAAAATAATTTGATTTTAAATTGAGACATGGGTATAAAAACTAAACATCTCAGTAATGACTTTTACCAGAATCACGGGATCATTCAGGTTGGAAGGGACATCAGCAAATCTCTAGTCTGACCTCTTTCTCAAAGTAGGGTCCCTCAGCCACTGTTGACAGGGCCTGCGCTCCAGCCTAACCACCTCTGTAGTCCCCAGCTCAACTTGCTCCAGTTGACCAATATCTTTCCTATATTGGGGGGCCCAAAATTGGGCACAGTGGTCCAGATGTGGTCTGGTCACAGTCACTCCAAGTGCTGAGTAGAGGGGGGCAATCACTTTCCTCACTTGACCAGCTACGCTCCTATCAATACAGCCCCAGATGTTTTTGGCCCTTTGCTGCCAGGGAGCACTAATGGCTTGTGCTCTTCTTGCTGCCTGCCAAGATGCCCAAGTTCCTTCCAGCAGAGTCGATTCCAGCCACTCAGTCAGCCTCCAGCCTGCACTGCTGCAAGGGTTATCCCTTCACCGGTACAGGATTACACATCTGTCGTTGCTGAATTTCGTAAGGCTCCTGTTGGCCTATGCATCCAGGCCAATCATCCAGCTAGACTTTGACCCACCTAGTTGTCCTGTCATCCAGATCATAATATTCTAACCCGAATGCAAGAATATTGTGGGAGACAGTGCCAAAAGCCTTGCTACCACTAAGGTATATAATATCCAGTGCTCTCCCCTCATACACAAAGTA